TGCTGGAAGCTAATGTGTCTTATCAGGACAGGCGGCACGTGATGGAGATTTACCGCTGATTACAGAACCGGCTTTCTGACAAGATGCGCGTTAAATATCGCATGCGATTTATCGTGCAGCCCTAATATATATATATATACAATATATTTCAAATTATTATTATTTTTTTTAACATATTTATTGACTTGGACAAATAGTCATGAGGGTCTACAGGGATGCTCTCTTTTATATTTATATTACATATAATTTTATACTTGTACATAAAAAAATACATCGTTTTTTTAGTCACTTGTTTTTGTGAATCAGCCTTTAAAGTGTTTATCTGTAACCATGTGAGCTCTTCAAGTGAAAGATTTAGCACAGTGCCAGTGGATTTCCCATCTTTTCTTTTAATGGTATTTTTGGCTCTTGAATATGGGAGTCGATGTTCTGCCTTTCACATCACAGAAGCATGTAATTTTCTATATTACAATGTCACATCGCTCGTTTCAGCTACAAGAGAAGGCATGTAATGTGAAGTTCATCCTTTTCTTCTGAGTGATATGTCGGAATTACTTGTACATAAAAAAATACATCGTTTTTTTAGTCACTTGTTTTTGTGAATCAGCCTTTAAAGTGTTTATCTGTAACCATGTGAGCTCTTCAAGTGAAAGATTTAGCACAGTGCCAGTGGATTTCCCATCTTTTCTTTTAATGGTATTTTTGGCTCTTGAATATGGGAGTCGATGTTCTGCCTTTCACATCACAGAAGCATGTAATTTTCTATATTACAATGTCACATCGCTCGTTTCAGCTACAAGAGAAGGCATGTAATGTTAAGTTCATCCTTTTCTTCTGAGTGATATGTCGGAATTGTTCTTTTAATCTGCCGTCTTACTGTAAGCCAGAGCGGTAAAAGCTCTCACAACTTGTGGAAAAACCCTGGCGAAAGCTTCACTTTAATGTCCTTTTCAGCTTCTTTTTCTGTTTTTTGGCCTCTGTCCAGAAAAAATGGAGGGAGAAGGGAGGAACAAAGCCCGTGTTTGCCGAGTGCCGGTCGACGGCCCCTCGGTTTTGCTGAGGTCGAGGTGTTTGAGAAGCTTCAGGTGGTCTGATGTTGAGAATTTGTGAAGGTGTGTGTTTTCAGACCACTCCATGCCTGGCATGAACGTCTCTCGTCCCACAGCCCAACTGTAGCCAATCAAGACTCAGAATTTATGGGCATATTCCAGCGAGCCAATGAAAAACACCTGCCTGCTCAAGCATTTCCCCAGGTGCCAATCACAACACCTCGTACTGTGGGTTTACATGAGTTAGCCAGTTATAAATTGGGCACGGGGGGCCCCAAGGAAGCATGAAATATGAATTCAATCATAAAAACTGTTCAGAAAAGCGAACATCATGAAACGCTAATGTTCCTGTTTGGAAAAACAGCCGTCAATAACACTGAGAAGTCATTGTTCTGTAGAGAGAAATGAAAATGTGACTCATGGAATTCAAAAGCATTTACAGTGTAAAAAAAAAAAATGAAGGACGGCTGGTTTTAAAGTGTGTGCCTGAGAGAAAAAGTGACAAAATCTTCTAGTTGAAATAAAAACAGTTGTTTTAGCCCTGCCGTGGGCCAACAAACGCGCCAACAGTAAGCCAAAATGTGCTTATATATGCAGCTGACTCTTTTTCTCTCGTATCTCCTGTCCTTTAGGAATAAAGAGGACATCTGACGTCCCTCTCGGGCAGATGACGAGTGTAATTCACTTGGACAGGTTGAGCTTTTAGGCACATGTACTTTTTTTGACATGGTACGGACCGAGCTATCCATTTTCCTGCCTCCACTTGATCAAAAGTGCATTTGGTTTCATACGGCTCTGTGACAAAAGCTGCCGTTTATTGCTCTCATAGTCTAGGCACTCAAAGGCCTTTTTACAGAAGGGCCGGTTGAACCAACAGAGCCCTCTTTAAAGTCGCCCTGAGGTTGATTAGCTGTAAGAGGGGCGAATCGTTTGAAGTGGTGCTTTTTTGGGGCAGTCTGCCTGGAGTTACGATAACAGCGGTTTGTTTGCGTGCACGGCTGTGATAGGTGTCAAGAGACAAAGCTAATTGGACATGAAGTGTTTTACAATGAAAAACACATAGGAACCAGAGTCAGTATTCACCTCACATCGCTCAGAATAAAAGACTCTTTCTGAACCCAGTTTATCCCGGGCCCCAGGGGACTCCCTCTGATGAGAACTAGAGAGAGACAGAGAGCG